GCAGACCCATAGCTTGACTTCCAGTGACATGCCTACAGACAGACCCCTTGTTAAGCCGAACATTATGGGCAACTGGTTATTTTTATGTCCCTGATCAACCTAGACCCTTCGACTAACTCCCAGGTACCTACGTTGATAGTGTACAGGCACGCAGGTGTAAGAGCACTCTTCCCATTGTTTCCACCCATACCGGGATCGAACGAACGGTCGCCTCTATTTGTGACTGAGTGATTTACCAACAGTACAATCGGACACCGTGTGAAGAGTCACTTTCTTTTATCTAAGAGACCAATATCCTAAAATACACCACTATATAAAGTTTGAAGCTGCTCGGAAGTTGCATTCTCAAGATATCAGCACTGAAGTTTTAAATCTAGTCAACTGAGGAGCTCAGAAATTATCACATAAAAACAGAATATAATATTTTCGAAATTTCTACCATAAAAACGGTAAACTGGTATATTTAAGATAGTGTTGTGACACCTTAGTAAGGAATGCTTCAAGACTCTGTACACGGTGTACGTCAGGCCCGTACTGGTGTACGTCAGGCCCGTACTGGTGTACGTCAGGCCCATACTGGGTAACGTCAGGCCCGTACTGGTGTACGGCAGGCCCATACGGAGTACGTCAGCCCATACTGGTGTACGTCAGCCATACTGGTGTTACGTCAAGGCCCATACTGTGTACGTCGGCCCGTAAACTGGTGTACGTTGCCGTACTGGTGTACGTCAGGCCCATACTGGTGTACGTCAGGCCCTTACTGGTGTACGTCAGGCCCGTACTGGTGTACGTCAGGCCCATACTGGTGTACGTCAGGCCCTACTTGGTGTAAACGTCGAGCCCGTACTGGTGTACGTCAGGCCCGTACTGGGTGTACGTCAGGCCCATACTTGGTGGTACGTCCAGGCCCGTACTGGTGTACGTCAGGCCCATACTGGTGTACGTCAAGGTCCCAAACTGTGTACGTCAGTGCTCATACTGGTGTACGGTCAGGCCATACTGGTGTAGTCCAGGCCCATACTGGTTTACAGTCAGGCCCGTACTGGTGTAACGTCAGGTCCATAGGTGTACGCCGGCCCATACTGGTGTAACGTCAGACCGTACTGGTGAACGTCCAGGCCCGTACTGGTGTACGTCAGGCCCGTAACTGGTGTACTCAGGCCCCAAACTGGTGTAGACGTCAGGCCCCATACTGGTGTACTCAGGGCCCATAATGTGTACGTCAGGCCCATTCTGGGTACGTCAGGCCCGTTAATCTGGTTACGTCAGGCCCGTACGGGTGTACGTCAGCCCGTACTGGTGTACGTCAGGCCGTACTGGTGTAGCGGTTCAGGCCCATACTGGTGACGTCAGGCCCATACGGTGTGACGTCAGGCCCGTACTGGTGTACGTCAGGCCCCATACGTTGTACGTCAGCCCTTAACTGGTGTACGTCAGCCCGTACTGGTGTACGTCATTCCCATACTGGTGTACGTCAGCCCATAATGGTGTACGTCAGCCCATACTGGGTACGTCAGGCTCCATACTGGTGAGTACGGTCCAGGCCCATCCTGTTTACGTTGCAGGCCCATACTGGGTACGCTCAGGCCCATACGGTTACGTCAGGCCCATACTGGTGTAATGCCAGCCCATACGTGTGTACGCCAGGGCCCTACTGGGTGTAGTCCGAGGAGGCCCAGTACGGTGTACGCCAGGCCCATATGTTACGCCAGGCCCATACGGTGTACCAGCCCCAACTGGGTACGACAGGCGCCAGACTGGTGTAACATGACCTCTGGTCAAGATACTACTTCAGCTAACGTCTTTAGTATTCGATTGATGAAGTCCTACTGTGTAGGCGAAACGTTTCGGAATAAAGTACCTAACTGGTGTACCTGTGTCTTACTCCATCAACTTGTTGGTACTGTAAACCATTTTAGTATTCCAAATTAAAGAAATGCAATTGGTTTTGCAATAAATTACCTGAGTATACTGGAAGGGTTTCGGGTGGTCAACGCCCCCCCCCCCGGTCCCATCCTGTGACCAGGCCTCAAGTGCATCAGGGACTTGACCGCAACCTGACGTACGAACACAGCCCGGTTGGTCAGGTACGGCTTTAGGGTGCCTTCCCACGCCTTTTGAAGACAGCCAGGTGTCTATGGTAATCCCCTCCTGATGTAATGCAGGAGGCGAGTTGAACAGTCTTGGGCCCTGACACTTATTACGTGTTTGCCAGTGGAACCCAGCTTTTCATTTGGGCGGATGTTGCATCGTTTTGCCGAGTCTTTTCTTTCATAGGTGTGATTTAGTCGTGTGCATCGTTTTGGTTACTAACCCCTCAAGGGTTTCCAAGTGTAAATAATCATGTAACATCTCCCGCCTCTTGCCACAGGGAGTTACAGGTTGAGGAACTTCAAGCGTTCAGTAACTGGTGTTTGATCACAGTTAGGTGCGCTGTGAAGCTTCTCTGTACACTTTTTTAGGTCCAGAGAGACATTTTCACACTGCCTGAAAGTGCTGTTAGTGTGCAAGCAATATTCCAGCATAGACTGAACAAACGACCTGAAGAGTGTCATCATGGGCTTGGCATTCCTAGTTTTGAAGGTTCTCATTATCCATCCTGTCATTTTTCTAGAAGATGCGATTGATACAATGTTATGGTCTTTGAAAGTGAGATCCTTTGACATTATCACTCCCAGGTCTTTTACTTATTCCGAAATCCAATCCAACTGTTTCTCTAAGTAGATTTATAAGTAATTAACCAGTGTTAAGATTGACTAGGGTTTAAGGAATAAGTACGTAAGCAAGAAAGTGCGGTAATTAGGTATCCCTAGAGAGGGACCTTTAACTGGCTGCCTTATTTTTTTTTTTTTTTTTTTTTTCCTTCAAATTTTCGATTTTATTCGCTTATAAACTCGAAAAAACTCTCCTCGTTTGATTGGAATTCAGATTTTGAAACCCTTGTGTAACAGAAACAAAGGGCCCAGATTTCTAGGAACATTTGCCATGTACAAGTACCCACTAGGATAACTAGAATGGTTATAATAATTGTTCAGAAAACCGACAAGTTCATGAATGAGACTCCTGTGCAACACTTGGGTATTTATAATCCTCAGTCCAATACAGAGAAGAATGGTGAAAGATGAGACGTTTTATGAGGTAATCATCCCTCAGTCTGGATTCGATGTGTTCAGAAGTCCCATCAATCTTCATAAAGAAACAGCATATGCAGGAGACAGTGCCTTTCCAAAATTTAATGTTACGAGATTGTTCAACACCTGTGAGGTTTCTAACTACTGTGAACTAACACATGTGAGTCTATCACCCTGTGGAACTAACACATGTGAGGTTTCTATACACCTTTGAACAACACATGCGCACACGACACACACACACACACACACACACACACGCACACACATTGCACGCCTATACAACAGCCTAGTGTCCTTCATCGACTGAGCCTAGGACAAAATGGTATACATGTGAGGTTCTAACCACCTGTGAGCTAACACACTCTGAGCTTCTCCTAACGTTTGGGAGATTAAACATCCATTAGCACTAACATTACATATTTATTTTTATTTTTTTTATTAACAATCGGCCGAATTCCCACCAAGCAGGGTGGCCCGAAAAACAGAAAAAAAACTTTCATCATTATTCACTCTATTTCCATCACTGTCTTTCCAGAGGGTGCTTTACACCTACAGTTACAATACGCAACATTAACACACCCTCCATCAGAGTGTAAGCACTGTACTTCCCACGCCAGACTCGCGTCCGGCCTGCGTTTCCTAATCCCGTCATAAATGTTTACTTAATTGCTCACACCACAACACACGTCAAGTAATTAAAACCATTTTCTCCATTCACTCCTATCATATACCTCAGTAGCTGTCCATGCTTGCTGGAAGTCCCAAGCCCCTCGCACACACACCATCCTTTACCTCCTCCCTCCAACCCTTCCTAGGCCGACCCACTAACCCGACATTCCCTCCACTACAGAGTTTATACACTCTCCGAAAGTCATAATGTTTTGTTCCATTCTCTCTACATGTCCGAACCACCTCAAACAACTCCCCCTCTGCCCTCTGATAATAGTTTTGGTAATCCCGAATCCGGCAACCTTCTCCTACTTTCCAACTACGAATTTCTCTGCATTATATTCACACCATCACATTGCCCTTAGAGCATGACATCTCAACGGCCTCCAGCCCTTCTCCGCGTTGCACAATTCATCACCCATACTTCACACCCATACAAGATGTTGGGACATTACACTCTTAACATTCCCTTTTGCTTCATCGGACAAAGTTCTTGTCTCCACAGACTCCTAAGTGCACCACTCAACCCCTTTCCATTCCCCTCATCAATTCTGGTGAATCACCTCATTCCCGTCATATTATTTGTCACCCATGATGACATTAATATCACTGTCATTCACTTTTTGCCACAGATCCTTGATAATGTCTATCACGTCCAAAATTCTCATCAAGAATCAGTTTTATTTATCGGTGTATTTCAAAGTAGATCCGTAAATGAAAATGCCAGTCCCATTAAGTATTTTTAATCACACAGTTATATTGGGTATTAAATGTAACAAACGCAATATTTTTTCTTAAATTACTGTGAATTTAACGACAACAATTATATTGTGGTAAGACGCTTCATGTATAGGACACGTCTTACTTTGAGTGTACACACTTTGGCCACTGAAATATAACTGGTAATGGAGAACTTTTGGAAGAGGAAAAATACATTATTTCTTACGAGGCTGTTTTCGTACTACAAACTGGTGCATTATTTAAATCCTTGAATAATACAGTATGTAGTAAGATCAGATAATATTTATTCAGGGTATTTACAATTATTTTTAGACATTATTATTTCTTCTGTACATTTTTGTCATAGTTATAGATTATTGATAAATAGTAAATTTAATCTAGGATAACACAGTCAAGTCTAACAGTGACTATTTCACCTTGTGCTCACGATGTTTGTGACCTGAAAATTGATCACCACTTCTGTTTGGTGCTTGGGGAGTGTGAGCTGCGACGGGTGTCCGTGCAGGCAGAGAGGCGGCCGTGTCCCGTACAGGAGCTTCTGCAGAAGCCATCGCCATAAATGCAATTAATACCATTGGTCTTACTGACCTCTCCTGCCACGGCGTCCACACTTCTCGACGGGGCTGTACCTGATGATTCATTTGATGTTCTTCAAGGGTTCCGTGATCCAAGAAATTGGAGCTACTTCCGTTCTTTGGCCGCATCAAGGCCCCTGATGGATGCTAGGCTGTAAAGTCTGCCAACACAAACGATGGTTTGATGCTCAATTCACACATGTAGACATCAAAGACTGCTTTAATTTTAAAAATAGGAATGAGGTAAACTCTCAGTGTATAAATGAACGGGCGTACAACAATCTCTCAGTGTATATCACAGCGTACATCCCTTTGTGTAATGCGCTCAGACGTACACCTCTCTCAATACATCCTACACTGAGATCATACTCCTGTGTATATACACGAGAAACTACACTCCTCCCATACACTGATACGTACATACACTCAATGTGTATACCGTAATGTTATATACACAGACGTACTCACCTCTCAATGCATATACACTGCGACGTACACGCCCTCTCAGTGTATATGCACTGAGACGTACACACTCCTCAGTGTATTAGACGTACACTCCTTCAGGAGTAAACTAGACAAGTCTCCTTCTCCAACAGGTGCCCAGATCAACCAGGACTTGTGATGGCTATGTGGGGCAGCGAGCCTCCAACAGCAACAGCCTGGTTGATCAGGTAAGCACCAGATGAGCCTGGGGCCCCATGGGCCGAGCTCCGAGAGTACCGAGACTCGAAACTCATCGAAGGTATATCACCTCTCAATTATATACACTGAGACAGTACACAACCTCTCAACTTTATAATTATGCGATTAATTTCTTGATACTTCACGTATTCAATAACTTATTCTTGGTTGGAAATTAGTTAAAATATGCATTAGTATCTAGTATCCGGTATTTTTTGTGGTGATGCAAGTTCAATCCATTTTATTACCATGCATATCTTCTCTTCGGTCACCATGAACTAAGATATTTGGTGTCGTTTCCAACAAGCCCAGCGCGTACCGCATTCTGCGCACCAACAATGTGTCTGACAGTGATCCTGTGGTGTGGTGTTCAACCAGCAAATGGGCTGCAACTTCCCCATCTCAGCGCCAGTGGTCAGTCACCATCCAGGGAGACAAACCTCCTGTCCAGCCTCTTGCTTAACTGCTCCCTGACGTAATGTTAGACCTTTGTTCTTCTCGTCACTCTACATAATACTATATTTAACAGGTATCATCATATGTTCATTTGAGGCTTTTTTTTGTTATCTTTGCCTCATACATCTACATAATACATGAAAGGAAAGTAGATACTCTATCTGAACATTATAATAGAATAGCTAAACTGACAATCATAAGTACACAGTGCAACAGTTAGAATTTTATCTTTAGTACGAAGACGCCTACACAATAGTGGCTTCTTCAGCATCCGTATACAAGAAACAGCAAAAGTTACAGAGATATGTAATCAGTCAAAACTACGTTTTTCGAGGTGATGGACTGACATCGTTATGATTACAGCTCTACTATTCGCCTCTCTTCTGTATTCGACTGAAAAAGCCTACTGTGCAGCGAAATATTTCGGAGTAAACATACCTAACGTCGCACAGATGTCTTACTAATCAATTCGCCTATCTGCCTTTTCCAGTGCACCTCTCCGTGTAAATGTCTTTTCAATTCGGTACTCTGGATGGGGTAAGCATATGATAGGCCGACACTTTTCGTTTACATCGCAATACAAGGGCCCTCATAATTGAGAGGATCAAGACACTGCCTATACCTACTTGGAAAGGCCAGACAAAGATACGATTATTTCTCAGATGTTCAATGCACCTTCTCACCATTCTAGTTTTAGGCTCAAGTTATTTTTCCTGCATGTTTTCTTTGTGTTGATGAAAAGAAAGATGCAGGACAGACACGCTTTTATTGTGATAAAGTTTCGCTTATGTACAGTTGTAATTAATGTTATGTTTCACGCTATAGCATAGCTTGTTACTCCCACTACTTCATGACAGCGTATTGCGTCCAAGTTTTCGCTCTCTCTACAATTTTTTCAATCCATGTCTCTGTACTGCGTTATCAAGTCGCATGTTTTTCTTCTGTTAGAGCTGTATGCGTCACAAAAATGTTTATAATCCTGTCTCTGTCCTTCAAAACTTTGGTAAATATACTATTCATTCACACATTCCGCATGTTAATAAAAATGTTGGGGGCAAAAAAAAAGATGATCCCCCGAGACTGAAGTGTTACAGACACGGGCTGACACCCAATTGGATCTCTCACACCAGCCTGGCTCCCCTACGCTTGCACGAGCACGCTCTGCTGCAGGAATGATTCTGGTAGGCACAGAATGAGTAACTAACCCAGTGCAGGCTCGATGGCGCTCCGTCAAAGGATAGAGTAATGACTCCTAAGCACTTCAGGTAGAACACAAGAATGAAAATCACAACAACAGTGGCTGGAACGAGTTTCACTAATACCCACATTTTTGGGGGATACACGTGAGATTGATGTTTTGATCCCTGTCGGGTTCATGATCAAGTAACACCTGAGGAAGTTACTGCTTTAATAATGGTTCGGAATGGATCGAAACATCGCTATAAGTTTTTACGTTTGCTGGCTTGTTCGTGTCCTTGAGAGCTGCTATATGTGGTACCCGTGTTTGCAAGTTACATCACAAAGTTATAAGAATTACCGTCTACATTGGTATAACTACCAGCACCAAACGTAGGATTAGTAAGCAAGTTAATTCAGGTATACACTAATACTCGTTACAGAGATTTACCATACATAGCAGCACATGCGTAGAGAACCTAGGATAAACCCAAAAAGTCAGTGACCTTATTTCCATGGGTGGTGGTACCGTCGACAGTGGTGGTAGCTACAGCAGCATTGCCCTCAGGGAGGTTTCCTTGAGGCTGGTGAGGGCCCTTGATCTAAAGGAATGGATCTGTGCTCCAGTGTTCTGCTTTGAGCCTGAATTGCCTCCTCCCCCCCATGTGCTGTATAATCCTAGGGTTTTAAGCGCGCCCCTATGATTATAATAATAATATATAATAATAATAATACAGAATAAGGCTATAGATGGGTTATTAATACAGCCAGCATTTATGATGGTGGTGTACCGCCTAGTGTTAATCAGTCATATAATTTCTTTAAATTTCTAGTGGTCCTTGAGGCTGATGTAAACTCTTAGGAGTAGAGGCTTTGAGGATCTTCATCCACTAATATCGAAGTACAGAAACTAACACATTCATCTCACTGGATTCGCAAAGGGCTAGTGTGTGTGCATATATTTTCCCTCCCTAACTTCTCATATTCGATCAAAATAAAATTTTTTTGCCATTGATCATGTTTCTTTCAAGTTTCTAGCGAAGGCTTATGGCAGCCTTGATAGGGTTGTCATTGTGAAGACTGCCTTGCACACTTGCTTTGCTGGATGCCTATGTGCGGGTTTGCACTCTAGTGTATCTCCTAGGTGTCCCGGAGATGAGGAGGACAAGGCCTGGTTCTGGGGATGATTACTCGATACGTGTGGCTCTCCTCGCTGGATGCGGGAAGACAAGCTCACCCATATCAAGCCACCACCCGGTAAGCTGAACTACTGTGTCACCCACTTTCTGTGTCACTCTGTACTCCATGTCATCGAGACCACTCTGTCACTGTACTCTCCGGATGTCACCTCTCTCTCTTTTGTTACTATGTACTCTGGGCCACCCACATTCTCTGTGTATCGCTCTAAACTATGGTCATCTACTCTGGTCACTACTCTCCGTGTGGGTTACCCTTCTTTGCCACCCGCATCTTTAGTCACTGTACTCCTTCTGCTCTCGTTGTTATTCTGTACTCGCCAGGTTTCACACTTTATGTAAGCTCTTTCTTCAATAAACATTTTCTTCCTAACGCTTGCTAAATATTATATTTTACCAAAAAAATTCTCTTTCAACAAAATACTCGTTTACACTCAGAAGATTGAAAGCTTACAGAGAAGCCCTCAACACAGTTTGAGACGGAGTTGTTTTCCATCCAATTATTCATTTCACTCAAAAACTAGGATATTCTGCTTTCGTTCCACTTATAATATTAAATACATCTTTAATTTTCATTCGACATCCTCGCACCTTCAGTCTGCTGAACCTCAAATTTTCCTTTTTCTTTTATAAAGATTATTGACACTCCTTGATGCCCTTTACATTTTTTACTTGTAGAAGTGTTTTGTCAGATAAGATTATTAAGATTAAATACACACAATAATGAATACATACATATAACGTTTATACAGGAAACCTCATATACATCAACACCCATACATCAAGGACTTCCCACCATGCATCCACTACCCATACATAAAATTAGGACATTCCACTTCACGAGGATCCTGATACCAATCCTACCTTCCCTCCCACAGGACATAGACTCGCGTTATGGGACCGGGTCGTGGTCCCCACAACGTCTGGTCCTCCACCACAGAGACCAACTTACAGATTGTAAGGAAGACCAACCCATGATTCAAGAGATTCTTTCCAAACAAGTTCCTGTGTTTCCCAGTAGTGAGCAAACACGAGATTCATACAGTCCACTTGACCATAAGTTTTGCTACGCATGAAAGATGTCTACGTAACACATGCATCCTCACAACTTATAATTAAAGAGTTTTCCACTCAACTTATAAATTTGGGCAAAATGTGCATTTTCTATTAGCCAGTTTGCGCCAACTTAATAGCAAGACATGCGCAAATTTCACTGATATGTTCATATTAATAAGGAAAGATACTGGTCTCTGAATCCCATAACATTTAGTAAGGAACGTTCGCCCGGATGGAGCGGAAGACGCAACTCCATGGCGAAACGTTTAATTAGCCGATGTCTTGATCAGTGCATACGTGTCGTTCACCTATAACCCACAGACGAGAGGACGGTTTCCGATCCACTGTAGATCACTATAATGACATCCAATTGAGATGTTATTTATATTAAGGATGGTATGTGAATTTTATTTTACATTTTCTTATTGG